AAAAAAAAAAAAAAAAAAGTGAAGCAAATTGAGGATGACCTATTCATAAGAAAGAGAAACCACTCAAAGAGTCAAAAGTAGGTTTAAAAATGACATAATAGGAAATGAATTCTAAACTTGATGACATATCACCGTAGTTAGTTATATTAAAATGTGTCTTATCACCTACTTGTTAGTTATATTAAAATTTACAAGAACGACTCGTCCCTTCTCAAATATCTTTTCGAGATCCAATATGTCTTGGTAGAGAAGGCGAGTAGCGAGCAAGTCGCGAAAGCCCTACTTCATGTTGGAGTTCGGGAGATAAGCAAGATGGGTCGAGAAGTTGCTATGACTACCTAAGGCCCCATGGTACATTGAAACCTTGGTCGGGGGTTGTTTGGGGGCCTTGCAATACCCCAAGCACTCCTTCATTCTTTGGCTAGGAGTGCTCAATCGTCTTCGTATAAAGAATCGGTTAAAGTTCCTTGAGGTAGACCCGGCTTGTTCCCTTTCCGGTGGAGAGGATGAATTATCGAATCACCTTTTCTTCGAATGCCCATTTAGTTTGGAGATATGGGGAGAAATTTGTACTTGGATTAGCCTACGCCATAGGTCATTAACTCTCAAAAGGGCCCTTAAATGGACTAGAAAGAGGCTAGATGGGCTAATTGGCAAACCAAGATGAAGAACACGGCTCGCGGCAACCGTTTACTTCATTTGGAATGCGAGGAATAGGTTGGTTTTCGAGAAAGAATCTTAACCTTCGAGCCTCGTGATGCGTAAGATTAAAACTCATGTTTATCGTACTATATTTGCGGTGTATCCGAATGTACTTGTTGAGTGAAGATGACAATATGGCATACAAATTAAAAAAAAAAAACGAGAAAAGTAAACAACACAAGATTTACGTGGTTCGACATTGTGCCTACGTCCACGGCGGCTGAGGGATCTTTATTATTCTCAATAGTCTCAAGTACATCAATACACCATGTATTTATACTATAACCCTACTAGGTATTAATTTACTTAAATAACCCGTACCGTACACTCGCAGGCATCAACCTGCCTCCTTCCTTTGTCAATATATGAGCCATATCAACAGTACTTGTCGAGTTTGAGAGGAAAAGCATGGGGCTTGGATATATAGGCTTATCTCTTGCACTGGCGGCATGTGATTCACTACTGCTTCTTTACATTTGTGTCACGATTAGAGACAGGAGTGAGCAACCGACCTGTGGCCGCCCTCGTAGTATTAATATTCGCGAGTGAGGAACCAAGCTTGTGGTTTCCTGTATTGCGCTTTTGTATGCCGATTATCGGTTGTCTAAACCACAGTTTTGATCTATAAATTTATTTTTACCGATAAAAAAAAAATAAATCTAAAAGATCTTGTGATATCTTAATTATATCTCGTGATCTTTTATTCACATATCCAATATGTATAGTTTATTAATTTTCTAGTACATCAATTCATGATATTTCAATTACATACCCAAAGTGTATTGTATGATAATTTTTTGCTACATCTTTCAATCACATACTCAAGATGTATGGTATGCAAATTTTCTACTATATTATCAAACAAACCATCAACTAATGGACATCTTTCAATCACATACTCAAGGTGTATGGTATGCAAATTTTCTGCTATATTAATTAACAAACAAATTAACATGTATCTATCATGAGCAAGACATGGGAATTAAGTGTAGTCTTACTCAAATTCCCCAACATAGCTAATTTTTTTGCTACATTAATTGATAGACTGGTATATTCAATTTGAATTTCAAGTGATATTTTGAGACTTTTTAAGATTTTCAGATTCTAGAGGAATTATGTGAAATCATAAGTTTGAATGTGAGATTTGAAGTAGAATTTCACATATAGTTTTTTCTTAAATAGTTTTCACAAATTATAGTCTCAATAAATATCTCAAGATTTTGTAAAACTTTTTAAAATCTCAATTGAATACCCCAAGATTTTTAAAGGTGTTAAAAGTCTTCACAAATCTAAACTGAATACACCAATATTTCTAGTATTAAAAAGTCATTAGAAATCTAAATTGAATACACCCGTACGCTATGGAAAGGAGAGCAACTGAGTGTATTCTTACTCAAATTTTCCTACAAACAACAACATTAGTGTTGATAAATAGGATAAGCAATATCCCAAATAAATAAACAAAAGCTCAGGCAACAAAAATAAGGATGCTCAGATCTTAATGAAATATGGTTCATTCTTGAATTGAATGTGGTAAACATAAAATTGTCAGGAGAATATATATGCCCCAATAAGCCCTATCACATCCAATTTATAAAATTTAAATAATTACACTCCATATGATTTTCGAAAGTGATATAAAAGTTTATTATCTAAGGACGACAGCAGCATTTCTAAGGGCCAAACATCGTTGGACATAATCATTCGGAAGAGACCTAATGGTCTTGAAGACTTCTGCATTAGCATAACGTAGCTTCGTTCTTGGATCAAAGTAAGGCGCCTGCAGAAGGAGTAGTGCTTTTCATATTTTTTTGAATTCAAAAATATATTGTCCATGAAAAAGTGAAATGGAGTAACAAAGGTCCACAATAACCTAGCCCGCTGCTTATTTTGGTAATTTCTTGAAATAACGGAAAATAAGCAAGCATTCATTCTGCACAGAATAAAGTAGAACTTCTGTGGTTTTGGTCTAAGAGATAAATGAATGAAATGGTTTGGCCTAAGAACAATATAGAAAGAAAAACAGAGGCCCCCTTAAGGTCTATATTTCCGGAACAAATAGGCCTTATTGGTCAGGTTTATATTTTCCAAACAAATAGCCCCTATCAGTGTACAATTTGTTAAAAATCAAAGAAAAATATGGGGTATATGTAATTTCGAGTGGTAATGTTATATGCAAATGTGCACATGTTTAGAGCAATCTAATTAGCAATATTCATAAGTATAAGCTACCACATTATAGATTAAGAAACTGACGCCAAGAATATGAGAGCAAAGAAATTAAAGAACAGAATTTAAGAAGCATATGAAATTGATTTGTTTTACGTTGCAGAACTACTTACAGTGACCTTTGTGGGCACAAGAGATTATATGAAGTCAGAGAATTTTTAAGTATGTTATGGTACTCTCTAAACCTGAAAACAGGTAAACGAAGGAATAAAGGAAATGCATACCTCATAGCCAGTGATATCACAGATTCTTTTGCATGGATGCATTGATGGTGGTGACTCAATGTTAACATCTGCAGAACACAACAAAAAGACATGATGAGCCAAAAATAGCAAAAATGATTATTTACTAATTCCTTATACATTTTTTTTTCTTTCGTTTTCTTCTCTTTCCCATTTCTTCTATTGGTAGAAGCAATGGTAATATAAGAATCGTAGACTCAAGAGAGCCGTTGGTTATAAAACTTTTTTGTTTTGGTCTCAACGATTTTTTTTATTTTTTTTTTCATTGAAGTTGTGATTGGAATTTGGACATGATATGTTTTGGAAAAACACACTTTTCATTCAATTTCATATTTTTCTCCTCATTCTCATCAGCACAATTTTAAACTAAAAAGCAAATAAAAAGCGTAACGGTGATCAAAGCAGGAGGAACAAGAGGTAGCTATCTACGGTTACTTGTCACCATTGATGTCACTAAACCGCTACCCCGATGCACTCACATGAAATTAAATAATCAAAAGATTATGGTGAGCCTGCAATATGAAAAACTGGTGAGTCTTTGCTATTACTGCGGACTAATTGGGCATCTTGACAGAAGCTGTGAGAGAAGGTTGAAGGATATAAGAACTGGAGGCTTAAAAGAAGGCCAATTTGGCGATTGGCTCAGAGCACCGGAGAACAAATATGGCGGTAGCACTTCTTTCTCAAACCAAATTAACAGTCTCACTTCAAATTCACCTACATCCTCTGAAGAACAACAGCAGCAATCACCTGACAGAGGTAACACAAAACCAAAAGAAACCAACATTAACAACAAGATAACTCAGGAAAACTCACCACAAGCTGAGCTGATAAAACAACAAGAAATCCCCAAAGGCAAGGAAGAAATCTCAGCTATACAGGGGGTGGGACCTATGCTGATAGAAGAATCATTACCCTCTTCCAAGGCAGAAGCAAATAACATGCCAGCACATTACATAGAGGAGGGAGGAACAGGACAGCAAGAAGCTAGACCCAACTCAAAGCCAGATGGGGAAATTAAGGAGGAAAGAAAAAGCTGGAAAAGAATCCCAACAGCAGAAGATAAACCCAGTAGGAGGGCAGCTCAGAAGGAAGAACCATCACAAATCACCCAAAAAAAGAGATCTCTCCAACAGGAAGGCACAGAAGAGATAGCTCTCACAGGCCAAGAGTCTCTAATAAAAGATCCTAAAAGAAGAAAGGCCCTAATTGAAGAGGTGGGGGAGGCCAGCCTAAAATGGCCCCACCCTCCACAATGAGTGTAATCGTGTGGAACTGTAGAGGTTTGGGGGGACCCTCTACAGTTTCCCAACTGAAGGAATCGACAAGAATCCACCCCCCAAGTTTTGTCTTTCTAGCTGAAACAAAAAAACAAAACGATTTTGTAAAAACTGTCTGTAAAAAGCTAGGTTATCAAGATAGATGGGCAGCTTCAGAGCCTAGGGGACTCAGTGGTGGTATTCTTCTTTTGTGGGCTAAAGAGATTAAAGTTTTGCAGATCATAAAATCTAGCTTCTGCTTTGAAGTGGAAATAGAAGGCTCTGTGAGGGGGTACATCTATATGGTATATTTTCTATTATGCAAGCACCAACAGAAGGGTAAGAGAAGAACAATGGGGCTACCTAGAAAATGCAAGGCCTAAGTGGGGAAACTACTGGGTGATAGGAGGGGATTGGAATGAAATCCTCCATACAAATGAAAAGAAAGGGGGGAGAATGAAAACTGACAGTGAGCTAAAAGGCTTTCAAGCATTTTGTGCAAGAATGGGGATGCTAGATATTCATATGATGGGCCACAGATACACTTGGGAAAACAGAAGGGAAGACGAGGGGTACATAGAAGAAAAACTTGATCGCTTTTTTGCTTCTTATGGATGGATGGCACACAACCCTAGAGCAGTTGTCCTAAACTTCTACAGAAGTGCTTCAGACCATCATCTAATCATTCTGCAGGATGATCCCATTCAAAGCATGACAAGAAGAAGAAGATTCTGTTTCGATAAACGATGGCTCAAGATGGAAGGGGTTAAAGAAGTAGTCAAGAAAGCATGGGACCTTCCACAAACAGGTACGCCTATGCATAAAGTCTCGGAAAAAATTAAAGAAGTAAGAATCGGACTGCTAAAATGGAGTAGTGCCTTTAAGAGGGAAAGAGAAAAGAATATGGCAACTCTTTCTGAGAAGCTCGATAATCTGAGGAAGCAAGGAAGCAAAAGGGACTGGGAGGAATGGTTCAGAACTAAGAAAGCACTGGACTCAGAATACAAGAGGGAAGCTGAATACTGGAGTCAAAAATCCAGAATCCAGTGGCTACGAGAAGGCGACACAAATTCAAAATACTTTCACTCAGTCACCATTCATCGAAGGCAAACGAACAGAATATCAAGAATAAAAAGAGAAGATGGTACCTGGTGTGAATCCCAGCAGGAGATTGAAAATTGCATAACATCCTTTTTTGAAAAATTATTTACCACAGAGGCACTGTTGAAGACGATATCATCTTGCAAAGCATACCACAGGTCATAACAGAAGAAATGAATCAAACTCTGATAGCCCCAATCACCGAGGAGGAAATCAAAGAAACAATATTCAGCATGAACCCACATAAGGCACCAGGGCAAGACGGTATGTCCCCTATCTTTTTCCAGCATTTTTTGCCATATATAAAATCTGATTTGTGCCAGGCTATTTTCAGTTTTTTTGAGTCTGGGCGGTTACTTAAAAATTGGAATCATACAGTAATCACATTAATCCCGAAATGCTACAATCCAGAGGGGGTTTCAAATTACAGACCCATCAGTTTGTGCGGGGTTACTTATAAAATTATATCTAAAATACTATCCAACAGGCTGAAGCCTTTCCTTAATTTTTGCATAAGCATGAACCAGACAGCTTTTGTAAAAGATAGACAACTCTTGGACAATGTGATCATTGCTCAAGAGGTAATCCACTTTTTGAACAGACATAGGACTGGTAATCTAAAGTACATGTCTGTAAAACTCGACATGGAGAAGGCTTTTGACAGGGTGGAATGGAATTGTATTAAATTGATTTTGTTAAAATTTGGATTCCACCCAACTTTTGTAAAATGGATAATTGCATGTATATCTTCTGCTGTGTTTTCTTTTAACATTAATGGGGAGCTTAAAGGTTTTGTCTCAGCATCCAGAGGAATTAGGCAAGGGGACCCACTGTCCCCTTACTTATTCATCATTGTCTCAGAGGTACTCTCCAAACTTTTGAAATCTGAAGAGGATGGAGGCAGATTTACAGGGTTGAAAATATCAAAGGAAGGTCCAGTGCTAACTCACTTATTATTTGCTGATGATGCATTGATCTTTAGCAGAGCCGAAGTACATCAAGCACAGAGGCTGCTAAATATACTACACAGATATCAAATGTTCACAGGTCAAAAGGTGAACCTTGCTAAATCATCAATCTTTTTTAGCAGGAATACACCTATTGAAGTCAGAAATGATGTCTGTCAAGTACTTCATGGAGTGAAAATTCAAATGTCCACCAGGTATCTCGGCTTACCCCTAGGAATTGGGCAATCTAAAAAAGAATGTTTTAATTATGTTGTGGAAGCTGTCAGATCAAAAATTGTGAATTGGAGAAATAAATTCTTATCCAATGCAGGCAAGGAGATATTGCTTAAAACTGTTATAAATGTTATGCCCAACTTTACCATGTCTTGTTTCTGCCTCCTCAAAAGTATATGCCAGGTAATTCAGAGTTTGAGTGCTGCTTTCTGGTGGAGCCATGGAGATGACCAAAGGAAAGGAGTGCACTGGAAGAGCTGGCAAACCTTAACCATTCCCAAGAAGGATGGTGGACTGGGATTTCATGACATAGTCCTCTTCAATGAAGCTTTAATCTTGAAGCAAATTTGGAGAGTGGCTACTAAACCAAACTTGTTGATGAGCAAGATGCTAAAAGGCAAACACTTCCCAAAAGGTTCAATTCTCCAAGCAGGTTCACCGAGTAGCTCCTCATGGATGTGGAGAAGCTGGATGAAAACATTGAACAAACACAAAACAGCTTTCCAGAAAATAATCAGAAATGGGCAAACAACAAATATCTTGCATGAACCTTGGATTCCAAATCACATTCCAGGATTCCCAACACCCAGTACAGATGGAGCTGAAAACTTCACTTGGGTAGCTGAACTCCTAACAGAAGATGGAAGGAACTGGAATGAGGACTACTTGAAGGCACTATTCAGAACAGATGAAGTGGAGAAGATTTTGAGTATCCCTACACTAAATCCTAGCTTGCAAGACAGATGGAAATGGGACTATGACAATAAAGGAGAATTCAAAGTGGCATCAACTTATTCTCATTTAATCCAGAGGAAGCTGAGCGAGCTAGATATATCAGAGAGCAGCTCCAACAAACTGCTGGACCAAAAAGCAAGACAGCGAAGTTGGAGGTTGAAAATCAAAGGTAAACTTAAACACTTTCTCTGGAAATGCTACACAGGCACACTACCAGTCAATGCTAACTTAAGGACAAGAGGAATTCAAGTGGATCCAATCTGTCATCTTTGTGGAGAGGAAGCAGAAACGATTGAACATACTCTGTTAAATTGCAGCAGAGCCAAGAAAGTTTGGAAAATATCAATGGTGAATTGGGATGGACTGCAAGATCAACAAGGAAACTTCAGATGTTGGTGGTGGAAAGCTTGCACTATAGATAAGAAGCCAATATCAGAAGAGAGACTCCAGCTGTCCACCTATATACTATGGTGGCTCTGGAAGTCCCGAAACTTGTTCATGTTTCAAAACTCACTCATGCCTGAAACAGAGGTAGTCAAAATAGCTTGGAATGAATGGATGGAACTCGCGAAAGCTAATGAACAGAGGAAGGAATAATAAAACCTATCATTGGCCAGGTCTCTTTAGAGTTCAGTGGCAACATTTAATTCTTCCTTTCTTTTATCATATTTAGGAATTCTGTATTGAAATATGTCTAAGCCTTCTAGTTTTCCTAGCTTAGATGTATTATATTTGTATATATGCATTGTGTATCTAGGCCACTCTGTGAGGTGGTTCTCTCAGAAACATTGGGGACTAATTAGTCTCGCGGACTGTATTATACTTTTGACGAAATAAAATCTATCGTTTCGGCAAAAAAAAAAAAAAGCAAATCATTACTACACACTTTCCAACAACTATTCACTCACTATAAAAATATTTCAGTCCATTTATCTTTCTAGCTAGAAAAGAATTTTCCGAAAGTTTATATACAAGTTTGATCATGGCAAAATGTATCAAATACGGATAGCTGGAAAAAAGTTGATAAAACCATTGCTAATAAACAACCCAATACCAACAAGATACCCAATGCATATAAAAAGTATGCCGAACTTCACCTTATGTAACGGTTGGAAAAGACTACGAAGTTTGCAATACAAAAAATGTGCATAGGTTATCAAACACGTTGTAAACACAAAATACTCCGAGTCCGAGCACCAATGTTGTTTTCAAGTCATATCAACCACATTTATAAATAAAAATACACACACACATACATACACTTAAATTTGTGATCAAATCCAACACATTAATTTAGTAAAGCTCTGTACCAATGCTAATCTTTCATCTTCTGATCAATGTTTCTTTCTTTCTTTCAACATGCAAATGAATAAAACGCTAAAATCATAAGCTAAAGATGATTCCTACACACACAACCAACTAACTCACGAGATATGCGTATTACATACTCACAATTTGGCTCGTCGGGTGGACAATTTTGGTAATTCTCAGCTTGAATAATCTGCTTGAGATGTTTCCACCTGGCTCTGGCTTGGCCCTTTGGGTACTTTTCATACATTTGAATCTTCTTAAACTTCAAGTGAGTCGGCAACACCATTTCCGCTTCAATCACCTCAAGCTCCATTTTCAAACCAGACAGCTCTAAGGCAACAGTTCACCTAAGCATACTCGACACCTGAAATTTGAACAAAAGGCTCGATTCGATACAAGGGAATGCAGAAAAGTTCGATTTTTCTTCATATAAGTTCTGAGTATACTGGCAATGTTAATGAAAACACAGACATATACACTCAGAATTTCCATTTTTACCATACAAATGAAAAAATGACTGAAACCAGCAGTACTATCTCCTAGGAGATTATGCCCCAAATATTTACTTCAAAAATCAACCTAACAAACAAAGACAACTAAACTAACCCTAAGAAAAGGAAATCAAAATTTTGACAAACCAATCACCATACCAATATTGGAAAGCCATAATTATCAACCCTAATTTTCTTCAGCGGCTCTAGTTGAGGTCTCCAGTAGATAAACAAAGAAACACGAAGCATCCCAAGTTCCCAACAAGTTTAATGAAAAAAAGGGGAGAACGGACCTTAACCAAGCTTGGGCAAATGGCGGACTCAGGTGTAGCTCGGGCCTCGGCTTCAGTCGTGGCGCGCCGGCTAAACAGCTCGAGCAGACAGAGAGATGCACGGCTTTAGTTGTGGAGATGCACGGGAAAATAATATTAAAATTGTATTATAAATTAAATATACAAATAAACTAATCGAGATTGGTCCATCGTTTTTAAATTAAACTGTGTTGGACACAGTTCGACCGAATGGACCGAGAACATATTTATAATCAGTCTAGTTCACTTGAATAAAATATTTGATATTGAATCAACACCAGTCGGTTGAACTGGTTGGATCGATATGATTTTCAAAATAAATTTGATTATATTTAAAATTATTTTAAATAAAATTAGATATTTAAATAAAATAGAGATTTATAAATTGTTTATCAATTAATTTAAATATTTTAATTTTTAAATTGTTTATATATTTAAGTAACACATTTTATTAAAATTTATTACAAAAACTATTATATATATATTAAAATGTATTTTTAAAGAAAATAATAAATTGCATGATTTTTATAAATTAAATTATATGATTAAATTGTATGATTATATTAAAACATATTTATAAATTAAATTGTATGTTTTTTAAAGAAAAAATAAAAAAAAAAATAATAAAACTACTATTTATGGATAGTATTAAATGCTGACCTATTCTTTTGTTACTAATTTTAGTAAATGTGATGGCTCTTTATATAATTATAGATTATAGATATTGTACATAACGTATACATAACACTCACTTTAGTGGACCTACTAAAATTAAAAAATTAAGTGGATCTCATTCCATGTGATTGTTATATACACATCTAGTACATTTATTATGTACTTGTAGGATTTTTCGCGAAATAATACGCAAATTAAGGTCTATTGATTTTTTTTAATTTTTTTTTTTTTAAAAAAAACAATTTCTGAAAAGTGAGGTTATATTTAAAATTGTGAATCAACCCCATATATAAATATAATATTTACAACAAATGTAATATAACATTTTGGAGATGTAAATAAATCAACGAGCTCGAACTTTTGATGTTTAAGGGTGTGTTTGTAGACAAATATCTCAATAAAAATTAATTTATACTCAAAATCTAACTCAACTTTATTATATTTAATATTATCAATATAATTAAATAATAACAATCAGTCATTTTACACATTTATCAACTTTAATTCATTATTCATTCACTCACATAATTTTAACTAGTCATCGCTTAATATCATCTCTCGTCTACTTTTACATCAAATTAATTTTAATTATTTGATTTTTAATATTATTTGAATATAAAGTCTAAATCTACTAACAACCAATTATCCTACATTTTTTTTTTCTAAATTAACTCTATTTAACTAAAAACCCCAATTTGAGTGAATTTATTAGTTTACAAACACATCCTAAGTTTACTCTTGAGTCTATATCAAATCAAGTTAAGCTCGACTCGTTTAGTTAAAAAAGCTTTGACTCGACTTCTTTATCAATGTAGTTAAATCAAATTAAAATATCAATGAATTGAGTTAAGCTAACAAGTCAAAAAATTACCCTAGACTCTAACTAGCGAGTTTGAATCGAATTGTTATGAATATTGATCTTTAAATGATGAAAATGATCTTTTACCAACTAGCAAGCTTAAATCGAATTGTTAAGAATTGTTGGAATATCACTTGTGAGTGTCCCACATTGATTCTATAGGGAAAATGAGTCTAGTAAATAAGTCTGATGGGCTACTCCTCCTATCACCAATTGGTTTTGGGATGGAACCTCACTAAGGTGCATCTAGGCTCACCCTCTTATGGTGCGCCTTCATCTGGTGGGACCGCACTCTCTTCCCCCGTTTCTAATAAGAATACCTATCTTTAAATGATGAAAATGATCAAAGAGAGCTTAGTTCGAGCCTTAAGAAGTCTAGCTTACAAGCAGCCTTGTTTTGCTTATCAATTTTATCCTGTCGAAAGTAAAAATTAAAAATTTACATAAAAACTCACCTTTATAGCACTAACAGGATAAGCTCAACTCTTATTGTTAACTATACAAGCTTTAAAATATTTATGTCTGGCTTGTTTTACCAAACAAACAGCGTCGAGCTCAATCTTTGTCGAGCTCAATCTTTCACGAGTCGAATTGAGCAAAAAAAAGAAAAATTTAAAATATTTAACATTTTGGATGTAAGCGCAACGCGCGAGCAGCGCGCGTGCAGAACAGGAGAAGCATAATTAAGACTGGATCTCGCTCCCAATCTCTCCCCCAATACAGCAAACGCAGATTTTGAGAGTGTCTCTTTTACCCGTCACAAGAGCTCTCGATAATGGCGCCGCCTCCTGGACCGTACTCCGGCAAGAGCTCCCTTGCTCTGGTAACCTCGATTGCCATAGCTCCGATCATATTTTCTTACGCATATGCATGAATTTGATCTGTGATTGAATTCACTTCACATCAACAGTCTGGTTTTCTCATGAATGGCAGGTGGCTAGGGTGTCGGCTTTCACCTTCGGACTCGCATACGGCAGTGTAAAGCTTAAGATTCTCAAGGTATTTAATTTTTGTTCTTTATGTGCTGTTATACTTTGATTTGCCTGATTCTGCTTGAGAGTGATTTTTTTTTCAGTGATTTTGATAAGTAGATTGTTGAATTGTACTGGTCTAGGTTTTAGGTTTTGAGTGGATATCATGAACCTAAAGATCTGGAATTTATGTATGAATGATTTCGATATGGTTGGTAAGTCTAATTGAAAAGCTAGCTGGTAGCTAATGAGTTAATCGATAGCTCACAAGTTACTATCGATCTGATAGCTCGTGTGGCTTGTGTGACCGATGACTGAAAAACGAGCCAATATAATAGAATGTGTAAAATTAATTGATAGGTCAACTCAACAGAAACAAAAATTTCAATAAACTTAGTTGAATGTAGAGAAGAATTTGAGAGAAGTTAAACTTCTTGTTTTTTTTTTAATAAAACCCATCTTACCGAACCAAACTAATTTGAATACAATAAGCTTATAAGTAAAGCAAATAAGCTATAAGATAGTTTAAACTTTAATGTGCTTTCCAAACTCACTCTTATAATTTGTTTGTATGGAAAGTGGGGATTGTAACTTGTACTCCCTTGAAGTAGGTGAATATTTGCTTCGAGTTAGAATTGATGAAGATGGATTGAAAATTAAAATGCTTAAATGTATTGGGTATCTGACAAGGAAACTGGTTATTTTTTATTTGAACTACTAGGATGAATATGGTTTGGCATTGTGTTGTTAATGTTATCACTTCTGATCGCACATGAATCAAATCATGGGATCATATTTTTATACGTATATGGATACAGATATTACTAATCCCTGAACTCGGTTGTGTAGTCGGTCGAAGTGGATTGAAGTTGTTTTGTTGTTTAGAAACTTTTAAAATAAATATGGCCAATTCTCTCCCTACTATGACTTCACTTCGCTTCGTTCTTAGAGTTAATTGCATCTTTCCTACTTCGTTCCCTTCACTCGGCCGCTGGTTTTCTCGGATCTCCACTTGCATTCTTTTGGAATAAGGGGATGGTTTTCTACTCTAAGAAATCCAAGACTTGACCGGCACCCGATAGGATTAGAAGGATTAGACCCGGAATGATATACTGCTTTTTGGACTGCTAGACAGACTGACAAGAAAAAGGCTTCACTTTCGATTGTTTAGTTTCGATCTGCATATTCTTTTCTTGGATAATTTTATGGCGAAATTCTCAAAATGGACCTAAATGTTTATCTTCATGCTATGTGATTGGGTCTCTGGAAATTACTTGATATGATCAACCTCGTTTGATTCTTATCAATTTTCGCGTTTGCTGGTCTTTCTGTATCATGTTGGTGAGTGGAGAAAACTAATGCAACTTTTTTTTTTTCCTTCTTATTTTACCAGGCAAAGGCAAAGTCTCATAGGAAAGCAGAAGCTAAGGGACACCAATAGAAAAGCAATTTTGTTTTCTTCCGTCTTATCGTAATAATGGAAGAGAGGAATTAGGTCGTGGGTAATGCGAAGGAGTGTCATTTTCTCTTCATTTAGCAAAGCTGTTGATGGCTCTGGTTCCAATTCTGTTCTTTGTAACTTTGGTGCAATTTGTCATTTTCTCTTCATTTAGCAAAGCTGTTGATGTCTCTGGTTCTAATTCTGTTATTTGTAATTTTGGTGCAATTTATCGATGAATGACCTAATTATGTCCAAAGAGAAACACATGTACTCTTTGAAAGAAATTGCTTATTACTTCGTTGTAAGTTATCTCAATTTAAATTTCTTACTTTTTATGAGACTACATGCTGTGAATTAGCCGAGTTCGAGCTTGAGCTTAGGGTGCTCGAGCTTGAGCCCTTAACGAGCCGAGCCAAGCCAAGCTCGTTAAATAAACGAGCAAAAAATCGAGATCGATTTCGATTCATTTATCGATGTTAACAAGGTCGAGTCCGAGCCTTAACGAGCCGATCTTGAGCTTTAGCAAGTCGAATTATAGAAAATTATATAAAAAAATTCTTTTCGAGCCTTATCGAGTTGAGCCAAACTCGACTTGTTAATCGAACGAGCTTTAAATAAGCTTGAACTCGGCTCGTCAAAAGCTCAAACTCAAGCCGTAACAACACTTTAAATGTTGGGTATGTTAGATTTAATGGTGATAAACCAAATCGCTGTAACCCCAATGGACACTACCTACGGGTAAGAAGGAATTTTCGATAATAAACTAGGTGTAACATCTATATTTTAATGAACTAAGTGGTGTTAAACTAATTTGATTATTAGTTATACGTCTAGTGATCCACATTAAATTAATTGCTCTTAGTTCTCAATGGTTGAGGATATTTTTTCTTACTTATTGTCAACTTATTATTCTTACTTTATTTTATTTTAAGAGAAAATTCCAATACAGCTTCAAGCGAGTTAATTTATGTGTTAATTTTAATGTTTCAAATAAAATAATTGGGAAATGACACGATCACGTTACGAAACAATTTTGTCAGGGTTTGTCACTATTAGATAACATGACCATAAGAGATAGTTGATTTTACTGTTAAAAATTCCGATAGAATGCTCGTAATTTTTAATGTTATAAAATAATTGGATGGCAAATACCGCTTTGCCACAAGCCCACAACCACAAACGGGTACCATGGGGGGTTCAATATCAATCACACGTGTCACTGCGTGATTGAGCTGTAAAAATTACATGGTCTGCCCGCCGCCAATCAATCGAAATGTACAGTTCCTTACAGTTTGACCTAAAATCGCAAAAAACCAAAAAAAACATTAACCTTTTGTTGAAACAAATCAACCAACAACGTTACCGGGGCCAACAGGCAACAGCGTTTATCGATATTTTGCCAGATTTCTGATCGCATAAAAAAAAAAAAAAGGTAAGAAAAGTGAGGGAAGGCGAGAAATCGGATCAATGGCGCCACCTCACGACGACAAAGCTGCGGAGGAGCTCAGCGGCGAGCCAACGCCCGATCGCCGCCGCATATCCAATATTCTCTTCGTAATCGGTACTCATTTCTCCTGCTTTTTCTTTCGATTCATCTATAGTTTGTAATAATTTTTCTGAGGTTATTGTTTGTTTTTCTGGTTAATTAATCCTCATATGTTGAATTTGGGTGTGAAAGCTATGCAAACGGAGGCATCTCCTCTGGTGGACAAATTTCAGCTCGCCGAGGAACCTGATTCTGGGTATGTTTTGTATCGATTTGTTCAGTTTAGTCAATTTGTTGCATTGTTCACTTCTCACATAATCACGCTCAGTAAAAGACTGTTGAGAGTAGATGACAATATAGCATACGAATTAAAAAAACGAGAAAGTAAAACAACACAAGATTTACGTGGTTCGGCAATATGCCTACGTCCACGGCGGCTGAGGGATCTTTATTATTCTCAATCAATACAAATACATCAATACACCATGTATTTATACTAAAACCCTCCACTCCGCTCACTTCGCTCGGTCGCTCCGCTTCCCTCGCTATGTTCGCTCCGTTACGCTCGCAGGCATCAGCCTGCCCCATTCCTTTGTCAATATATGAGCCATATCAACAAAGAGTATCTGAATTTCATGTTTAGCTCTTTTAACCAGTTAATATCTATTAATTATAGGCGAAAGAGTTGCTCAGACTTGTTTTAAGTTACAGAATTAGAAGTTTTATTTTGTAATACAGTTCAGATAGGGCATAGGTTGGAACAATTTTTGGCTAATTTAAGTTGCTTCACTTTCAAACTTACGCGAACTAATGTGCAGGTTTCCGAAGGGGGTTCCATGGGTGAGATACTCTGGTAAATATAAAGAGCTGAACATCAACGTTGTTTGCCCTGGGAAAGACAAGTCATTGGGTTTGTACTCTTTACACTCCCGTTCCTTATTTCGTAAATGTGTTAACTATGGTTGCAAGTTAGGATTTTGCTCACAATCATTATGGTTTGTTCCCTTAAGAGTCCACGATGATTGCTTGATCTGGTTTGCATGTACTTGTTAATTTGTTATTGGCCTGCCATCTGGTTATTAATGTTATAAACAAATATGCTCGTCGTTTTAGATAGTTGGAACTTGAATGGTGGTGTTGTTCTTGTGAAGCAAAGCATCATATCTAATATCACAATATTTGATTACAACTGCTTGCTGAGAGCTGATTTGATGAGGTTTCATTTCGTTTTCCTTTCAGGGGTTGATTCTGTCGGAACAGTTTCAGCATCTCTTCTTACATATGCTTCTATTCAAGCTTTACATCCAGACCTCATCATAAATGCAGGAACTTGTGGAGGATTCAAGGTATTACAGTTGCAACTGTAACGGAATTTTTTTTTTTTTCTTTTCTTTTCGTTTGACCTAATCATGCTTGGTTAAATACTGCTAGTTTGAAGTTTCATCAAGATGTGCGTGTAAGCGCATTTATGCTTGTGTATGTGACCAAGGGTTTATTCTCTTTCTCTTCTTTGATTTAGTTTCTCCCCTTTTTTGTTTCTCAGTCAATATTTGCTTTCTCTATCAGTTACAAGAATTGTTTTTCTGCCTCGTACACTTAATCATTATGAAGCTTTTTCACATTGTGAGCTTTAATCTATCTTGGAAACTATATTGAGTAGTAGACTCAATCATTGTTGGAGGATTTTGACCAGTGTGCTTCAGCCGGGAGATAGATGACCAAATTGTGCACTCTGCATATAGCACTCCAGGATTTTGCTACTTACATATTATTTTACTTTTTTTTTTTTTTGGTATATATAAACTTCCAGGAAAAAGGTGCCTCAATAGGTGATGTATTCCTTACGTCAAACGTTGCTTTCCACGATAGAAGAATTCCTATCCCTGTAAGTCTTTCCGTGTTTTCTCCTTTTCCGCTTAGTTTCAACCTTATTTCATTTAAATAATGTTGATAATATGAGTGGTGACAGCAAATATTTTATTCCTGAGAGCAGTTGGTAGTTTACTTATATGCTGCCATAAAAGTATGATGTGATGTACCAGAGGACTTCGTTTTTACTTCTTCATGGTGTTAATACTGATCACATATCGTTTTTAAGTGTTACAAGCACCTTGTCGAAAAAATTTATCGACTCCAATGACGTGTTCTATGGACATGTTTTGAAACCTCCCTGAAGTAGATATCCCCATAAAGTTCTTATGATATGCTCGCCAATGGCAATAGATGCTTTGAGCCATATGTTTGAATTCTGCATTCCTAATTCTGCGTGTATACAGTTGATTTTCAGTTTTCACTATTTTGTTTAAATTTCCCATATCAATTTGTAGGGATGGATCACAGTCCTAACCTCTACTTCAACTTTGAGGACTTCACGATGCAGTTTATATTTAAATTGCCAGCTAGTTTACCTTTAGATAATATTTTCTTGTCAAACGTCAATTCACCCATGTCACATCACATCCTCATCTGACATTTTTTTATTTTTATTTTTTTGTATATGCAGGTGTTTGACTTGTATGGGGTTGGCTCACGCCAAGCGTTTTCCACGCCTAATCTTGCAAAGGAACTGTACTTGAAGGTTAATACTATTTTTTTTACAATAATTTTGAAATAATCGATCAGGTCTTTCAAATGAATTGTCCTTTTCTGACCATAGCTTACTAAGTATTTCTGCTTTGGCATGCGGAAACTCCTTGTGTTGTCATACATAGTTAGGCAATTCTAAAAATTGTGGGTCGTTATGGGCTTGATTTTTGCGGGACAATATAACATTCTCTATTTATTATTAGGTTGGCAAATTATCTACTGGTGATTCTTTAGATATGTCCCCTCATGATGAAGCAGCAATCGTTGCAAATGATGCAACAACTAAAGACATGGAGGTAACTTGTTTTTCTCTGAGCTCATCATTCATCATATCTGAAATAAAACGAAATATAGATGTGCCATCCACAATTTATTTTTTTTGTTTCATCTTTAATTTTTTAGACGTCTGCATGTGATTTCAAGGACAACTCTCTTGTTGTTTAGGATAATTGCACAACAGAAGAGAAAACGAAAAATTAGAAAAAGACAGAGAACAATTATCTGTCTAGATAGTATCACTAATAATCAAATCTCCCATTCATTTTTTTTTTTGTATTTCCTTCTCAAATAACCGTTTATCAAGTCGCGTGTTAACTCGTGAAACAAATATCAAGCAACCTGTTGTAATTTTTTTTTTCTTTTCTGGTAGATTTTATAACTAGTACAACACCCGTGTAATGTGCTTGCTAATTCTTTTCTTAAAATCTAAAATCAATAAGAAAAAAGTAGTTTGAAAATTTAAATACCTTTTATAAGAATATATATATTATTATATATTTATTGTGACGCTTTTTATTTGTGCGACTTATATGTGTTATATTATACTAATTTTTTTAACTTACAATATATAACTACATTATATATAAATATATCAATTGAGAAATAATTTTATTTTTCTAATGAATTTTAATAAATATTATTATTTTTTATTATTATAAAGATAAATATAATTTATTTATTTCATATATACAATATGGATGTCAAATCGAAGATCATCAAAAGATGATTAATTTGATATATTATATATGTAAAACCGATAAGAAATATAAAAGTTATCAACTTTTAAAATACATTTATAATCCAATAGCTTATTGAAGGAAACAAATCAAAATTCATGGATATAGTAGTCACTTATTGTCTCACTATGTAAAATTACAAAAAAATTAAAGGGTTATATTAGTAAAAGTGATATTAAAATACCTAAGTTAGCTAAATAATATTTATGGAATACCCGAACCTAGATGATTAATTATTAATATATCAATATTATTCATCCAAGCCTAATTACGAAGCATGATTCTTCGCCAAATAGGATTCCGAAGCACCAGAAGCAGCCACGTAGGCTCAGCGCATTCTGGAATTATATATAGGGAGGATTATACAGATGTCAATATAGAAATAAAATTTCCGAGACAAGACAATATGTGATCGATGTTTTTCTTTTTTGCTAATTAACTGCTTGCTAAGATAACTCCCAATTCCTTTATATATCAGGGAGCTGCCGTTGCTTATGTAGCGGATCTCTTGAAAGTGCCCACGATATTTTTAAAAGCCGTGACTGATATTATTGATGGTGACAAGCCAACAGCCGAGGAATTTCTGCAGAATCTGGCAGCAGTCACTGCTGCTCTTGAACGGACAGCAACCCAAGTTGTTGATTTTATAAACGGAAAAAGTTACTCGGAGCTTTGAATTAAGTGAGCAAATGAGGAAGAAGGTAATACATAAAGTATTGAAACTTACGGGTGTAACGATTCATCTGTAAAGTGCGAGGTTATAGTAAGTATTCAGTCATGGCTGTGGAGGATTTGTATTGATGGCCAGTGTATTTTGTTCACACAATCGATTTTTTCTTGATCCATGTTTGCCGATTCTCCTCCCTTTTGCTCGTTGATAGTGATGTGTGGTGATTGAACCATGAAAGCTACAATTTGGGATTAGATTTTCAATGTTGTCTTTTTCGCGAATCCATTCATAAACTATTAGTGTGGAGGTGCAGTGCAGCCACATGAAGATGATGTGTATTGGTCTTGTTCTGTCATTCCAATATACGATTATCTAGCTTGGTCTGATTAACTGAAGATTGTGTCATAGCTGATTTTATGAATTTCTTGTGATTTAGATGAATATGTTGAAATCAACTAATTTATAGGCGTTCGTAGGCACATTCATAGCTGATTTTGTGAGTTTCTTGTGATTTAGATGTCTTGTATATGTTGAAACTGAGTAATTTATAGTTTAACGTGTCTTTCTTATGATCTATTAAATGATAATTTTCGTAACAAGTATAGATTAGAAAATTGGTTTACCGTACTTGTAATGATTCGAAAAGTTAATCAAAACAGGAAGGTTGTATGAAGATGTATGGTTTAGGTTGTCATTATAATGTTAGTAGTTAAAAATGTAGCCGATATAAGCTAAGCATAATATTTTGATTTCAAATTTTAACTTTAACATTTCATTCCTAAAAAAAAATGATTTTGAATAATTTTCACTCTAAATCTATTATAAAGTTCTTCAAAACTTCTTCAAATTCATCAGAAAAATGTTCATCTAAATCTATTAAACTTGCTGGGGGTTAACCTTCTCAACCATTTTAGGAGCATTCCTGCTAAATTTAGTCTTCGAATTTCCCCTATGGCTATACTAAATCACGCCATATTTTGTACCAAATTTACTCGGATAATTAGTTGTTTCCATAAGCAAATGGAACACAGATGATATGAATAGATAAAACAACCCAAACACCACAAAAGCCAACACCATGACACGAAACAAGCGTCGCGCGTTCATATATCTAGAGTTGAAAATGCTCGTAAAAATTATCATAATCTAAAAGGCCAATATTGGTACACACATAGTTCTTCAGACTACCGTTTTTTGGTAACTAAAGATTTCATGTGAACATCCAATTCGTGCCAAAGCTGTCAAGTTCACAACCGAAAACAAGGCTTTTTCTACTCTTAAGAGCCAGACTCCATTGAACAAAAGAACTAGTTGTAAATAAGGCTTACTTAAACAACCAATAGTTACACCACTCCAGAAGGAAGACGCAAAACGAGCTGCCCCCCAAAAACACTGCAGATCAAAATCCGAAGCTGATGAAAACAACTCAATAAAAAAATAGACAAATGTAAAAATTCGTAATGGTTGAAGATAATGTTCAAAACCTTTTTACATAGTAGTAGCAAAAGTCGGCTAGGATAAAGGTCTGAACAATTTCAGATAAAAGAACCATCGACGGCCACAGACCATAGCCCAATGCCACGAGGAGATGACCTCGTGTGTCTAAAACCTGAATATAATAATGAAAAAAAAACGATGTGAACTCCACAGTTAATGTAATTACAAAGAGGAGAAAAGGAAAAAAAAAAAGGAAAAGAAAGCTATAATTAAAAGTTATGGCAGTCCCTTGGTATTTGATACTATTTCAGAGAAAAAAAAAATGGCAAAATTGCATTTTGTCCTGCGGGTTCAATGTCATAGCAATTTTAGCCCAAGATTCCAACATTTCACTTTTTTATCATGTGATTTAATATTTTGCTACAATTTCAGTCATTTAAATTCCCAATTTCCCAGATTTTCGATTAGCAATTTAAGTCCTATAATTTAAAATTTTGTTGCAATTTTCGTATGTAAATTAAAATTTAATTGCAATTTCAATCCTCAAAGCACTAAAATTGCAACAAAATGTTAATCATAGAATCAAAGGCGAAAAGTTGGAATTTTATGACTAAAATTGCTGCATTTTTGCCAAAAAATATCGGCAGAGGGTATTTGTCAAGATTAATACAAACTGCAACGGAGTATGCCAGTAATATTTCAAGGTAATTTGTGATTTTGTCAATGTTTTGGCTCTTTGGAAATAAGGTGATCTGTTAACAGTAGCTCTTGTAACTAATCCCTTCATATTATCTCATAATAATTTCTAAACAAGATCATAAAGGGGCTCGTGCATCAAACCTGGAGAACCCAGTGAGCACAGCTCAAGAATCGGGCAACACCCAGTGCAAATACATAATGAGCTGTAAAAGGTTCAACAATCTGCCACCAGAAAAAAAAAAAAAAAA